TTCCAATTTTTCGTGCCACGTGGTATTGCGTTAATGGAACGAGAATATCTAATCCTGAATTTCCTGTTTCCTCAAAAGTCATCCCAGACATTTACTAAGCCAAGGCGCTACTTTTGTGTTATAATTTCTAACCCGAAGAGAAAAAAATGCTTATGGGTGCCTATGTTTTCTTGACGATCATCCTTGAAATTTCAAACATTTTCGTTATAAAATTCCTTGAAATCTTGATTGACGGACTTCGTCACGAATATGCAGTATTCTCACTACTCAATATTTGAAAAAGCAATACTCTCAACCTCAATCCCCTTCAACGCATATACTTTATATATGTCTCCCTAATTACCCTGTCGAATTATGGACATATTTCGTCCATGTTTAGGAAAAAATGACCATTCTCGTAAATGCATTCTCTTATTCTTGATGGACATAGACACCCATTTGTCAAAGCAGAAAATGTAGTATTTAATTATGATAACATTGTAAAAAGTGCTGGGCATTTTTTCAGTTTACATTTGCATTTTTTGCACTAGCATTTCGGGTTTCGTGGGTGATTCTGATACGTAAAAGAACGTACCATTTTAATTTATTTGTACTGTGATGCGTCAAACAATCTTGAACAGCCAGTTTTTACAGGAAGTGTGAACGCGACCAGATTTTTGGTTCAAATTTATTTTATTTTGAAGCGAAAACTTTTTTCGGCATTTCTGTCGACTACCCAAGGGATCCCATCTCTTAACACCGACCCTTACTTTAATTGTTTTCTGTAACGAAAACACATTTTCTGCCTCTGCTTCTCATGGTTTTCTCGTGAAACCCACTAAACAGTTTTGACTGCCCGAATGGTTTTGTGGATATTGTTCAGCCAATGCAGAATTTTTTTCAGCTTTGTTGATTGCTTAATTTATTTCACGCAGCTTCCAAAAATTTCCAAGGTTCTGAAAGCGAAGGAAATTCAATTCCGCGGAACCAATTTTCCTCACGAAGCAGTTTTGAAACTTATTTTCAAAACCAGCCATGGCAAGAAATTTCTGAGATGAAGCTGATGATCAAAATATTTTCCTGTTTTTATTTCGTTGGAAATAATAATTAACTGTCCGTAACTCAAGTAGAAAATCATGGAATTGACGATCAGTTGGGAGGCGCTCAGTAGCGCTGAGCGCTACTTCGCCCCTCAGCTTTATCGCTGTTCAGTTGAAAGGCGTTATTGAATATTTTTGCATGTAATTTTGAGTAATTCGTATTGAAGCGATTGTCTTGTCGCCACGACCGTGGTTAACCGCGCCACGGATTTCGATCGAAGGCCCGTTACAGAAAATCTCACGAATAAAGGTCATTGCAGTGGGTAATTACTCTCTGGGTATCGTCCGTTACCACTCAAAACCGTGTCCATTTTTTTACAGGCTCATTTGAAAATTAAGAAAAATTTTCACGTCAATTGGGACAGATGGTTAAATGCCCGACAGTACTTTCCGTCGGATATCGCTCCATGATATAAATACGGATTCAAAAGTGTGATAATATTGTTATGGATACGAGGAGAATTTCACTCGTGGAAATTTTGAGGAAAATAAGAACCGATGAAAAAATTGGCATTTTTTTGCTTTTTGCAAAGGGGAACCTTTATTTTAAAAACTGAGTTAGTGCGTTCGAAATTTTGAAAATCCCTTGAACTTCAGGCTTTAGAAGCTCTAACCATGACCCTTTATTCGAAAAGGAATCAGGAAAATTTACTAGACGCATTGAAATATATATTATAGGAAAATTCATGGAAATGAATAAAATGACAAATTGCGAGATTAGAGCGCATTTGTGGAAGTCTCAATAATTCCAGCTCTTTCTTCCTTCCCTACTAAAGATCAGTTCTATGGTCAGAACAGACTGAATACGAACTTCCGGAAAGATTTGAAATGCAACACGCATCGCCAGTATCAAAAAAAGTTTTTCAGTCCAATTTGCTCCGCCATAATGAGCTCGCTCCTTATAGTGCAACCACCCGATGGGGTCATCATGAATCATTTTCCTGCACTCGACAAATGAAGAGGAATTGAATTTGGGGGAAATGGGGAGGGTTAATGAAGTGGAAATGAGTGAAATGTGTTTTTTATTCCCTTCTTTTTCTTTTGTTTTCCTTGTGCAGTCACCTGAACAAGACGACGACATACGAAGACCCTGGGAGGCATGTCGCAGAAGACGACGAGGTCGAGGCTCCTTCGCCAAGGGACGTGGAGCTGACGCGACAATGGGGTTGAGGAAAAAGTGCACTTCCTCATATGCCTTTGTTTTTTAGTAAAATGAGCTAGAGATTTTCTAACGTATTCAGCAGTGTACTGGGCTGGGATATGTCTGGTACTCTAGACCTCTTTGGTAATGGAAAAAGGAAGTATCGTAAACCAGGGTTTATGTACGAGTACGTATAATCGTTCTTGGTACAGAGCCATTTCCTCTGCACCACATCATCTGCTCGGTTGATGAAAATAGAATACGTTTTTCTCGTTTTGTAGCTAATTAATAGAAAATCGAATAGCGTAAAGATATTTTTTCGGAATTATTTGCTCGCGATGGAATCGTGTTTTGTTTTGTTCGAAGTAAGACGGGAGGAAAAAATGTGTTTTTTGTTATAAAAGATGCATCATATTTCTCAACAATGGTCGCAAAAAAATGTCAACCTGTAAAGAAATATTGATCAATGAAAAAATACCGTAACATGCCGTTTTTTATGTTGCATCGTAAAGGATTTAATCTTCGGAAAACTGCTTCAAATTATTTTCCTCCCATCAAGAACTTGGGGTTTCCCGTTCTTGAGAATCCCGATGAAGATAAGTCACGGATCTTTTCTTTATTTTCAGTCGAAGAACTTAAACGCACATGTATTGCATTTTATTGGTAAGCAGTATACACATGAAAGCGAGGATTCCACTCAAGATCTGATTATTTTTCTTCACGTATCGAAGGATCGGAAATGTATAATTAATTTCCAATTTTTCGTGCCACGTGGTATTGCGTTAATGGAACGAGAATATCTAATCCTGAATTTCCTGTTTCCTCAAATGTCATCCCAGACATTTACTAAGCCAAGGCGCTACTTTTGTGTTATAATTTCTAACCCGAAAAGAAAAAAATGTTTATGAATGCCTATGTTTTCTTGACCATCATCCCTGAAATTTCAAAAATTTTCGTTAGAAAATTCCTTGAAATCTTGATTGACGGACTTCGTCACGAACATGCAGTATTCTCACTACTCCATGTTTGAAAATCATATACTTTATATATGTTTCCCTAATTACCCTGTCGAATTATGGACGTATTTCGTCTATGTTTGGGAAAAAATGACCATTCTCGTAAATGCATTCTCTTATTCTTGAGGGACATAGACACCCATTTGTCAAAGCAGAAAATGTAGTATTTGATTGTGATGAAATTGTAAAAAGTGCTGGGCATTTTTCAGTTTACATTTGCATTTTTTTGCACTAGTATTTCGGGTTTCGCGGGTGATTCTGATACGTAAAGGAACGTACCGGTTTAATTTATTTGTACTGTAATGCGTGAAGCAATCTTGAACAGCCAGTTTTTACAGGAAGTGTGAACGCGACCAGATTTTTGGTTCAAATTTATTTTATTTTGAAGCGAACACTTTTTTCGGCATTTCTGTCGACAACCGAAGAGATCCCATCTCTTAACACCGACCCTTACTTCAATTGTTTTCTGTAACGAAAACACATTTTCTGCCTCTGCTTCTCATGGTTTTCTCGTGAAACACTCTAAGCAGTTTTGACCGCCCGAATGGTTATGTAGATATTGTTCAGCCAATGCAGAATTTTTTTTCAGCTCTGTTGATAGTTTAATTTACTTCACCTAGCTTCCAAAATTTTCCAAGGTTCTGAAAGCGAAGGAAATTCTATTCCGCGGAATCAATTCTCCTCACGAAGCAGTTTTGAAACTTATGCTCAAAACCAGCCATGGCAAGAAATTTCTGAGATGAAGCTGATGAGAAAAATATTTTCCTGTTTTTATTTCGTTGGGAATAATAATTAACTGTCCGTAACTCAAGTAGAAAATCATGGAATTGACGATCTTGGGAGGCGCTCAGTAGGGCTGAGCGCTACTTCGCCCCTCAGCTTTATCGCTGTTCAGTTGAAAGGCGTTATTGAATATTTTTGCATGTGATTTTGAGTAATTCGTATTGAAGCGATTGTCTTGTCGCCACGACCGTGGTTAGCCGCGCCACGGATTTCGATCGAAGGCCCGTTACAGAAAATCTCACGAATAAAGGTCATTGCAGTGGGTAATTACTCTCTGGGTATCGTCCGTTACCACTCAAAACCGTGTCCATTTTTTTTACAGGCTCATTTGAAAATTAAGAAAAAATTTTCACGTCAATTGGGACAGATGGTTAAATGCCCGACAGTACTTTCCGTCGGATATTGCTCCATGATATAAATACGGATTCAAAAGTGTGATAATATTGTTATGGATACGAGGAGAATTTCACTCGAGGAAATTTTGAGGAAAATAAGAACCGATGAAAAAATTTGCATTTTTTTGCTTTTTGCAAAGGGGAACCTTTATTTTAAAAACTGAGTTAGTGCGTTCGAAATTTTGAAAATCCCTTGAACTTCAGGCTTTAGAAGCTCTAACCATGACCCTTTATTTGAAAAAGAATCAGGAAAATTTACTAGACGCATTGAAATATATATTATAGGAAAATTCATGGAAATGAATAAAATGACAAATTGCGAGATTAGAGCGCATTTGTGGAAGTCTCAATAATTCCAGCTCTTTCTTCCTTTCTTATTGAAGATCAGTTCTATGGCCAGAACAGACTGAATACGAACTTCCGCAAAGATTTGAAATGCAACACGCATCGCCAGGATCAAAAAAGTTTTTCATTGCAATTTGCTCCGCCATAATGAGCTCACTCTTTATAGTTCAACCAGCCGATGGGGTCATCATGAATCATTTTCCTGCACTCGACAAATGAAGAGGAATTGAATTTGGGGGAAATGGGGAGGGTTAATGAAGTGGAAATGAGTGAAATGTGTTTTTTATTCCCTTCTTTTTTCTTTTGTTTTCCTTGTGCAGTCACCTGAACAAGACGACGACATACGAAGACCCTGGGAGGCATGTCGCAGAAGACGACGAGGTCGAGGCTCCTTCGCCAAGGGACGTGGAGCTGACGCGACAATTTTTCTTTTGTTTTCCTTGTGCAGTCACCTGAACAAGACGACGACATACGAAGACCCTGGGAGGCATGTCGCAGAAGACGACGAGGTCGAGGCTCCTTCGCCAAGGGACGTGGAGCTGACGCGACACGCGGACCTTGGGTTCGGTTTCGTCGCCGGATCCGAACGGCCCGTCATCGTCAGGTTCGTTCAACCATCCAGAAAACATTTCCCTCGTCTCTCCGCTTTTTTTTCCGTACAGTAATATATTATAGTCAAGCCTCATTCTCTTTTAAATCTCTGGCGAAAAAGAAAAAAAAAAACCGCGACTCTGCGTCGTAAATGAAGATGAACGGAATATTTCACGCGGAGTCGTCTCCGAACTAGTTCAAAAGCCATAAAAGTTTATTTATTTTTTTACAGTTTTTTATTCGGTCTCTGATGATGAACGGCACTTGTTCTAGGTCGTTTGTATTCCTTTAAGGTCATTCGAGGGTCATTAGGAGCGAGTTTCTTGCCGTTCCTACTTGCAGAGAACTTACTCAAGTTGAAAAACAAGACCTAAGGACGCTCTGGGCTTGAAATTTGCGAAGGTCGTAAAAAGCGATAGTGTAAAGGACTAAATCCTAAACTAGAAATCTTAAGTTTGTATTATGGATTACCTACTAAGCCTCGTGGAAAAATCCTTTCATCATTTCTGAGCTCGAGAAGTTCAGATCGCGTATTAAACCAACGTTTAAGTACACTTGGCAAAGTAATTAACCGTAATTTTGCTTGACTTTATTATGGTAATGCAGCATATCTTGCATATCTCTCTCTCACTTTCATCATCCGTTTATTTTTTCCCGCCAGCACTCTGAATTTGAATGCGTATCACATCTTAGAAGTTGACTTCGGATGAAGATCTTTCCCATTTAATTGATTTTTATTAAAAGCTGGGAGACGACACAAAATGAACAGTTCTACTGCGATGAGGGAAGAAATTATGAAAACGCAAAGATTTGTAAAAAGGTTTCTCTTGTAACAAAAAAAAAAGGAAGTGGTTCCTTTACTCTTCGTGGTACCACAACTTTTGTCGATCTGTGGTGAGTTCTTGCTCAGAAGGGCGATTTTCAACTTCTGATTTCCGGATTTCCCGATGGAGACACAAAAACAAGTGCCGGTGGGAGTTGTTCGACACCATGCGAAGTGATGCGAACCGGACGTCACGGCGTCTTGGCAACTATCCGTCATCGCAGTACTTGCCTTTCACGTCGTAAAGGATGAACGTCTCTTGAATGAGTTCAACTTTTTGTTCTGGATTCCTGCGAGACCCGAACTTTAAACGCTTCCAGCATTTTTCGCTATCACATTTCCTGATTTAGGATTTGATCTTTAGAATTCAAATTACTGTATTATGGATTACCTACTAAACCTCGTGGAAAAATCCTTTCATCATTTCTGAGCTCGAGAAGTTCAGATCGCGTATTAAATCAACTTTTAAGTACACTTGGCAAAGTAATTAAACGTAATTTTACTTCACTTTTTTATGTATATCTTGCATATCTCTCACGTTCATCATCCGTTTATTTTTTTCCTGCCAGCACTCTGAATTTGAATGCGTATCACATATATCTTAGAAGTTGACTTCGGATGGAGATCTTTCCCATTCAATTGATTTTTATTAAAAGCTGGGAGAACGACACAAAATGAACAGTTCTACTGCGATGAGGGAAGAAATTATGAAAACGCAAAGATTTGTAAAAAGGTTTCTCTCGTACGAAAAAAAAGGAAGTGGTTCCCTTACTCTTCGTGGTACCACAACTTTTGTCGATCTGTGGTGAGTTCTTGCTCAGAAGGGCGATTTTCAACTTCTGATTTCCGAATTTCCCGATGGAGACACAAAAACAAGTGCCGGTGGGAGTTGTTCGACACCATGCGAAGTGATGCGAACCGGACGTCACGGCGTCTTGGCAACTATCCGTCATCGCAGTACTTGCCTTTCACGTCGTTACGCCCAAGGACACACTCGGTCCCAGGACTCAAAAAATCAAAAAATAATAATAAAAGAAACGATAAAAGAAATCAGAAATCATACTGAATTATTCGTTAGACACATTTGGTCCCGGAAGTCAAGTGAAGACGAAGAAATGGGAGTGAATTATTTGTCACGAGTGGGACACGCACTCATCTTTTACCCCTTGCGTCTTCTAGAAGCGACTTCGTCGTTCGCCGAGTCGCTTTTTGACCTCGCTTGAAAATGACATGCGACCTTCCCCCATGAAAGCACGCAGTAATATTTCCTCGTCAATTTCAGTTTGCACTCAGGTTCTCCGCGTAGATCTCTGCTCCCATGAATCACGAATGAAAGCATAAATAAAGCTCCGAAAATGGCACAAATGCTTCCCGAATAAAACGAGATACGTTTTTTCTTCATTTATCACCGAATGCTTTTTTAATCACCTTCAATTCCCCGGCGAATTCCTCTGACAGAAATTTATAAATATAATCTTCCTATTTTTGACGATACATACAACCAATTAACAAATCAGGGCTAAATTGAATTCCCGGAATACCTACCACAATAAAAAAGATTATACTAACAATTCCATTTTTCCCCGAAAAAATTTGAAATTACCTATTCGTGTCATTCAATTAGTTCATCCTGCAAAGAATGGGGTATTTCTTCTGCGCAGTTTTATTTTGACATTGCTAAAAAAAATGTGACTTGGTGGCATTTCGTAGACTTATCTCCATTTTTCCTGTGAATGGACGGAAAAAAACAAAAATGCCTAAAATGCGGAAAAAAAGCGTAGAATGGTGAAGGGAAAGATCTTTTGTGCCTCGAAATCTGAATGACATCTTGCATCAATTCGATGTCAAGTTGACTTCGAGTTGGGTCATGTACTATTTTTTTATAATGAATGTTGATCCACACTCGATCCAAATCCTCTTAAATTTCGGCTGCATGGATAATGAATAACTTCTACGATTAAATAATTGTGTTCTTTCATCATGCTGTGATATCCATCAGGTTTGTGACGGAAGGTGGGCCAAGTGATAAACTTCTCCAGCCTGGGGACCAGATTTGGGCAGTGAATGGCGAGGATGTTCGGTGGGCTCCGCGGGACCGAGTGATACAACTAGTGAGAGCCTGCAACAACACCGTTCTGCTGACTGTTTGCCAGCCAATGCCTAGTTCTCAAGACCCTTCGGTGAGATCTATTTCCTCTATCTCTCTCTCTCTCTTTAAATGAATGAACCGCGATAATATAATTCAAAATTTTAATCTTTGTTTTGCTATCCGATTTTAGATATTTAAATGGGTGTGGATGGATTTTTTTCCCGAATATTGACCGCTGTCCCAATTCATCGTCTTCTCATCAGTTTGAAATCAAAAGAAGTCCCTGAGGGAGCGAAAAAAAGATTAAATCGCGATGTGGAGCTTTGGTTGACGCACCACGTGTGCCTATTTCATTAGTTACCAGGTAGCCGCCGTGATCAACCAAATGTGAAAATTGATGAGAAATCATTTCCTATTTAATTCTGAGAACTATACGTCAACAAAAATATCTGCACATTCTGAAAATTTCCGTGTTACTAAAAGTGAATGCGTCGATCGCTTTGAAATTTAAACCGGAGTAACAAAAGTTCGGACTACAATCAAAGAGAATCCTTCGAAAATTAAGTTCAGGCACGTGTTGTTGCACGTGTCTCCAGCAAGAGGTGTTTTAAATTCTTAATTCTCCGCGAGAAAAGTTTTTGAAAGATTTTCTGAGAATTTTCCTCCTCTCCATGGAAACAAGCATAATGTGAAAAACATAAAATTTTCTTCAAGTCTAAACCGCAGCTTTTTTGCTTCGGCTGTGTCGAGGAAAGAAGTAGACTGAGCTGTTAAGCCGATTGAACAATTCAGAAATGTTTCTGAAAAATATATCGTCAATCTTGCTCTCAAAGAGCGTGATGGGAATTTAATCAAGTTTCCGAAGTATTCAGCAAACTCGAATTAAATATCTGCTGGTTCAAGAATATTCCTTTTTTTCAGCGATAACTCAATGCGTTTCCATTTTTTGATGGGATGATGAATCAACGTGGACTTCAAGATCCTATAGCATGAAATTTTGTATCTCGAACGCCAAGAAAGCCGTCATATTTCATACTTGTTTACAATTTGCAGCTAATAGAAATCAAGAGCACGTAGTCTTCTCTTGACACGTGATATGTTGAGCTCGGTGAACGAGAAGGTTCCAATTTATCAACAAAATCTGCTGCTGCTGGGTATAAGGAAGTCTCTCCAGCCTCTTTTTTTCTACTCGTACAAAAGAATGAGGAAGTCGTTTTTCTTCGCTCGAAGAACGGGGGATGTTGAATGTAAATATTATTCAGTGGCGAATTTTTTGTGACCCAGGAAATTATTCCAAAGAGGATTCATTTGCCGGGACAGGAATTCATTTTCTAGTGAAAATATGTTAACGGGAGATCAATTAATTCTTGAGAGTCAGAGGGAGCTTCGATGGACAAAGGGGTGGTTCTATTGAGTTGACTGATTAATATATCACGAGCAAGTCTCAGACATGGGTATGCTGAACCCGTATGAAAGCGTCTACGAACCTGGAAGCTTATTTCGTTGACTTTCAGAAAAAAATTTCCCGAACATAAGCGAAATACGTCAACGGAAAGTGTGAGCGATTTTGTTCCAAGCTAAACGATTTCTTTGAGAACATTGAAATTACTGTAATCTTTACGTCGTCTCAGGATAATTTTTTAAAGCGAAAAATTGAAATGAGAGATGGCAATTTATTGGGATTCATTCGAGTTCTCTCAAAGCCTCATTTCCGAATTCAAGTTTTAGACTCAGGCTCCTTTTGTCCTTCGTAAATTAGATGCTGTTGTACGCTTTGGGTATTCTAGATTAAATAATTACCCGTTGTCTTTCGACTGACAGAAACTTTCGAGTCACCCCTCGTGAGTCTGACACAAGGATCTCGCAGATGAAATTATCGCATGAAAGCAAGTCATGAGATGGGATATGAAGATAACGATCCTATTTCTTGGCGCCTCCAGCAGCGTCCTAGAAAGCTACTGTCATTATTCCGGGTTCACACCCACATGTTCTAATCTTGAATCAAGCAAGTAAAACGTTGGAATAGTGTTTGGTTCCTTTTTTATGGACCATTTATTGAACTATTTGTCGAAAAAGTTCAAAACGCGGAACGCTGTTGGAAGTAATGGTTTCTTGGAACATTATGCAGTTTTGCGTAATTCACGCGTCAGTGCTTCGATTGTATCCTGGCTCATATGTTAATGGCAAATATTCACTAGTATTCATATTCATAAATATTCAAATAGCCTCTAGTGTAAATAACTTGATTTTTAAGATGTCTTTAATTTACAGGTCGGTTTCATTCCTAATTTCAACGTTTTTCCTTTTTGAATCATTTTATTTTTCGAAATAACGACATAGAGAAGATACTGTACACTTCTGAGGTTTTGATTTTTGTCGGTTAACTTATCGTTGTTGAAGTTGTCAAGTGTCTTTTGGTCCCTCTCAAAACTCGTTTATTCCGAGAAGCATCTTGTAATATTGATTTACCTCATTCCCGGAGTTATGAAGGGCATGCATAAAATTATAAACTGGCTTTCGTTGAAGGGATTATTCATTTTATTTTTTTTCGACCAAAGGTGGGAATGCGTTATGAGTTAATGCTGATTCGCTGGTGGGTGGGTTCGTCGGTGATCCTCCCCTGGAGCGCTTTTCGGTCTGGGTCTTGAACACAACGTCGACGCCGACAGACTGGCCGAGATTTATGGAATGGCGGGGATGAGGAAACGGGGTGCGCATCGGGAGTTGGCGCGATGAAGGGCGCCGGCGGGAGTTTGATTGAAGGCATTTGGCGTTTGCCCAACGGGACGTCGTCGACCCTCGACATCTTTCCCGGGCTGCGTGTTTAAGATATACGGAACATGCTGAATGAGTTCACGCAGAAAGTAGGGTTCCTATAGGAAGAATGGCAGCAAATAAAACAAAAAATATATAAAAATTAGGAAAAACGTGAGAGATGCCGAGTCACCGGTTGCAACTTGCGCGAGCGCCAAACTGAGCGCCATGGAAAACTGAGCGTCAACGATATTGAGATATAATGTACACTATAAACGTTGTTATCATCATTCTGTTCAGATGTAAATTTTTCTCTCTAGCTCTGAAAATTACGTCATTTAACCCACCCATCATGTAAAACTGCAATTTTTTTCAGCCAGCAGTAATTCGCAGAGATTCAGCGCTGTTTTTGCTATGAGAAAACATGGAACAATTTCTCGTATTCCAGTCTCAACAAGAATTGCCTGCATTGAAAGGCTTGTGGGAATAAATGCTTGTATTGTTCTTACATGATGGTACTGGTGATGCATGTGATAAGTTCGTATGAACTGGTCTGTTCAAAGAGCGAATAACATCGCAATTTTTTAGCGCACAGGAAATGAAGCGGATGACAGTGATCCGCGAGGATTTTTTTTTTCTTTTTTTTTTTTAGTATGCCTTTTTCAGGTACAAAATCTGTTACAAATTCTAAGATAGCGCAGACAGCTGTTGGAGCATTTATATTTTTACTGTGAAAAATATTCAGTGGCCAACAAAATTCAGTTTTTTTTTACCGTGCAAACCGCGGGAAAGTATGGTTTCCAGTCATTTAACTTGCGGTGAGAACCTGCAAAGCTCTTCGTTAATTTATCTATAGATTTTTATGCCCGAAGAGAAGAAGTCGAGGGAATGGAATTCCTACGGATAGTACTTCACGCTTGGCGTTTAAATGGAGAGATTAAAACGTTTGGAGTATAACACATAGAAAAACGTGTATTTAACGAGTATTTGCTTTTTGAATATTGTGCCGAATCCTTGGATTTTCGAGTTGAAACTTGAATCCTTTTTTATTATTAAGACATCCTTGACGTTCCTTCAGGCATCATTATGACGTACCTTCAGGCATCTACGTTAATTGATGCATTGGTTATTAATTTAATGGTTGTCATAGATTTTACGGCAGTTCAATTGCGTTCCATTTCCCCTAACTGGTTTTAAGTTGATCTAATTATTGATTTCATATTTTTTGAAGGTGCTTTTGATGGACTTCTCTGCACACACCTTGGGTTCGATGGTAGATTGCCAATGGCGTGAATGCGAATTTTAAAAAACATTTTCTTTAACAGAGTGGGCTTACTCACGAGGAACTGCGCTACAAGCAAAACTTATTATAAGCCCACATCACGATAGGATGAAGGTGGTTAAGATAAGCGCAATTTAAAAGTGGGAGGATGGCACCTAAGAAGCGAAAAACAGTGTCAAATTATATTAATTCGAAGCAGAACAGTGTAGTTGGAAGAAAAAAGGCCGTGTGAGCAACATGCGCTCACTATCGTATTCACTCGAGCATGAGACGCCGTCGAATGAAGTATACGCCATATATTCCAGTACTGAACAGTACAGTAGTTTGCTCCTCGAAATGGAATATAATTTTGGTGCACATTCAAGTCATACTATCACTGATTTTTATCGGATGGATCTGTTGGTGGTTGTTTTGAAGCCAAATAACCTGTTTCATCAAGATGTTCAGTTTTATATTCTTTATTCACGATTCTCGATAATCTGGATTTTAGAACATTGAAATTTTAAGGTTAAACGCAAGTGATCTATGGAATCGAGCATAATCATTCCTTGGTTACATACATGCCTTTTGATTTATGTTTCTCATATATTAAGATGTATTCAGCATCTTGAAATTTCAGACCTTTCCCGTACGCGTGTTTGAGCGGACAACGTACGCCATGACAAACATGACGTAGAGTCTGGAGATTCGTATAATGAACACCATTGAAAGCAAGACGTGCACTGATTTTTTCAAATCCAATTTTTTTGCGGAAAGGTGCGTTTTATAGTTGAAGCTTTTGATAATATTGGAAAACGTCTCAGTGGCGTTCAAAGAACCAGGAAAAGCGAACTGGTGTTTGTGAGTGGAATGGGATCTTGAAGTGTTTCAGCAGTGCGGTTCCGCGGAAATCGGGTCACCGCAGGTTTTGCAATACGACGGTTCATAGTTTCCGGGAGAATTTCCCCTTTGCCTCTCACTCATCCTTTCTTTCTGGTCTTGGGGGAGATGTGGGTATGATTCACAGGTTTCCACGAGAAAGGATGGGGATGAGACACACAAAGTGAAGCAGGTGGGGAAATTATTTTCGGATCGTTCGCGAGAGATGGGATCTATTCGCACACCTTTCGCTGACTCCGTGCCAGGGTTCACCTCCGATTCCATGATCGGATCAATATACAATGTGCCCAGCGAGGCGTGCTAAAAAATATTCTAAATTTAGGAATGAAAATTTTAAAGATACTCGCTTTTTATGTGTGGAAGGAACGCGTGTCTGATCCGTCCGAAGTTGAAACCAAGACACCTTGGCTTCTCTCGAAGGTGCGATTGATGAAAAATTTTGTGGTACATGACATCGTTCAGTATCCACCTGAGATGGAACATAATATTTTCCTTGAAATTTTTCACAGCTGACTTACAAATAACTGCTAGACGCACCTCTTTGAATATTTCCGAGTTCCTATTCAACTCTTCGCAGTGCTTTAATTTCGTCGCACACAATAAACAGAAAAAAAATAAGTTTGGGAAAACATGCTGATGTAAAGCCTTTTTTAACGCATTTGCGCATGCTACCTCAAATCATCAAATTTATCAGCTCTCGTATTAAAAAAATGTTGCTCTCACATTCGAACAGCAATTAAATGTGCACCCAAACTCGAAACAAGTGACATAAAAGGAGTTTAATGCAAGTTCAAGTCCCTTGGAATATTTCACTGCATACAGCTCTCGTATTAAAAAAAATGTTGCTCTCACATTCGAACAGCAATTAAATGTGCACCCAAACTCGAAACAAGTGACATAAAAGGAGTTTAATGCAAGTTCAAGTCCCTTGGAATATTTCACTGCATTTGACGTATAAATAACTACTAACTTACACCAGATCCCGCGAGACCAGCTGTGAACTGAACAACGAATCCATGAAGTTCGCTTTATTATTTTACGATGATTGTTTTTCTGTAACCTTTATTTTACTTTGTGTCATTTTCGAAGATAACTTTACAGGTTGACTTCGGCTCTAGTACTGTATGTAGACCCACAAAACAGGAGCTATTTTTGAAAGTTATTAATGTTCTGCTCGTAAGTCATAATGAAGCTGTATGAAAGGAGGGAAATGACCCCGAAATAACCTTGAAAACCACCCAGTTTGACCCTCAGAATTAAGTTAAGGACCATTTTTTTCCTTCAGTGGGAAAATTCTCGCGTGATTTATTCCATACTAATCCAGCAGCAGACGATAGAAAGGGCAAGAATTATTGTCTGAGAATGCCTCTATGTGTCCCTCTTTTTTTTTCAGGCAATAATAATTTTCCTGAGGATGCGAATAATTTTTTACAATTTCCAGACCAGGCCGTTAGAAGCACAAAAAAAGGGTTTCCTGATAACCCACATGCGGTCGCCGAATACTTGTGCAGATGATGCCACGATTTCTCTCTGTTTCACAATATATTCGCGGAAAAAGAATTTAATGAAAGCTTTTTTCTTCAAAATGCTCAAAATATTCCTATCAACTTTGGTCTAGTGGCGGTAGATTCATCATGCTTCTGAGCGCTTTTTTTTTTAACTCCCTGGGACGTCTTTCACAAGCATAGTACGTGTCCTTTGGGCAAAAAACAACAACGACAACGACGAACCCCGGAGGGCTATTCGTAGGATAGCAGTGAAGAACATTAATAAGTGAACCCCTTATTAACGGCGACAAAACACACTTTCCTCTTTCATGAATGGCCGAAAGAAGTCATATACTGATTGGAAAGGGTCGGGCGTGGAAAAGGAAAACGACGCTTGCTATGTGCTCGAGTGACGTGTTTATCCGGCCCTTGCGAACTCGTTTCGCGTCACTGTCACGTCGCCTAGTGTTTTTCCTGCGAGGATGCAAGTGTTTATCGCGGGGTCTTACCCTGGGTGACGACAGAGTAAAAGGGCTCCGAGCAGCATTAAAAAAAAAAGCAGTTTACCAAAGTAAGCCACTAGACGTCTCGTAGGGTCCTTAGAAGGGTTCAGACGCATTGGTAGCATACAAAGCCCTTTTATAAGAGCACCGCAAAAACTCGGGATTCTCACTTGCCGAATTCCAAAATTTGTCTGAAGAACATTGATAAAATAAATTCAGATCGTGGCTAGAATTTGATCGCATACGTATTGTGTTGAGATTCGCGAAAATTTTACGATGACAATGACACTGTTCAATGTCGTGTACGATGCCACGTGAGTTATCTCGTGTACTATGTGAGCATTTTACCAAGTAGAAATGAAGATTGTAATTTTGTCGGTTGAGTTTTTGTATTAAAATCGCCACCTATCAGCGAAATATTTTGTGTTATGCTTGAAGGGATTTTACTTATTTAAAAATTTAGTTTAAGCAACATCTGAGTTTTTGTTTGAGTATAGGCTGGAGGCTGCCTACTCCGAGAGAACAATGAGGATAGGAAAAGTTTCAAAAAATTTGGCAGACTCAAACAAGTTTTGTTTCAAAGACTTTGTGGCAGGTATTTAAAAAGTTTTGTGTTTTTCTTTGCCAAAAACAACTCAAGAACTGGGAAAGCAGCTATAGTGTAGTGTCCGCAAATAATTATAAATGTGGCCTTGAAGAAAAGTTTCTCAGAATGAAGAATTAAAATAATGTATTTCATCTGTTGAGAATTTGTCTGAAGTGCTATTATGAGAACGGCCAACTTTTATTT